CAAGCGATGGTAGGGGGGAGGGGGGGATTACCTATATGACGTGCCATGCCGGGGCCATAATGTAATCCGACCGATTCCCCAGTTACCCGGCTCGATATCGGGTAACCATAAAGAAATTACGGCTGCCAGCGAACGCCATCGATAATTCAATTTTGTGCATTATTTTGGCGCTGCTCGATGATGCCCTGCCATTATGGGCTAAACAAATGTATCCTGGGGCGAAATATGGGCATGGATATGGTTAGGGGTATGCATACTGGCTCAAAGGAGACGTCCTCGTTGCAGCCTGGCTTATTCCAGTCTTTAATTTTATTGTCTGTTGCCTGGCTTTCTCCGTTCTCCTTTCTCCGTTCTGCATTCTCCGTGTGCTCCGTCTATAAATTTCATCCGCACTTTCCCCGCCACGATGGCTCAACGCTTTTCCTCCGTCTTTATGCCATGCCGTAAATAGATTTTCCTTGTTATTGTTCACAAAATGATTTAGGGAAAATTAGGTTTATGTAAATAATGAAGAACAAAAAAAGAAATGGAGGCAAACGAACGAACTCTCGCTGCAGGCCAAAATATCCTTGGATAGAAAATGCCTTTGCCTGGCGAATATATGCATATATATATATATACATACATGTGTGATCAATTTCGGGTGTTGGCAAAGGAAAGCCGGAAGACGTTTGCCAAGGCATTTTGCAAAATTAAACCGAAGCCAAGAAAATGGCATCAATGCCAGTATCCTTTAAAATCGAATTAAGCATAATTCAATGAAAACATTATGTTTGCAAAACATGTCCCCTAAATAAACATACATACGCTGCCGGGATTTCAATTGTTAAGCTCTGTTTTTATAATTACAATCCTTTCTGTTTGCGGCCCATTCATGTGTGAATAAGCTCTGCTTTTAATGTGTAATCAATCTGTTAATTTTTTTTATTTGCCTATTGGCCTTTATCAGCGGAGCAATTAGTTTTGAAAATTTATTTAAAAATTGCATTCACCATTTACGCCATTGTGCGCACAGTTTCGCCACGTAGGCAGTTTTGCATATTTATTATTTGTTTATTCTGGGCTGCAACAATAATTCATCCCGACAGCCAATTAATCAGAAAAGGACATTCAATTAAGGCACAAAATCAGGCTGTGTAAAAAAGCGCATGAATAGGACAAGCTACAAAATATGTTCGCTATTATTATATTCAAATTTAATGCACCAACAAACCAGTTTTATGCAATCTATAAAGATTCGATAAGCGGCAAATTGCATAAATAATCGTAATTCAATTTTTTTTAGATACACAAAGGCCCTAACATTGTCAGCAAAATATGGATGTAATAATGCTTTGATTCGGGGGCGTAAAGGGCCCCCATAAAATCGGATGGGATTGACAGAGGTTTTATCCCGGAAAAGTGCGTTCTAATTAACTGAAAAGGTTGTGGCGAAAAACACGCTAAAGAGTACTTAAAAATATGTGGAAATGTGTTTACATAAAACTCAAGTGGAAAATCATGTAAAAAGGGGGAAAAGAGAAACGTCCGAAGAAAACTGTGCTGTGAAACGCCGGAAAAAAAGACAAAATAATTATAATAATACAAAAAAGAACTGTGTCAAACGTCAACGACTTTTTGTAGCTGGATTTTCATGACGCGGCAAATTGTGCGAGTTAATGTTAATGCGCTGAATTAGCTTAGAATGGGCGTCCCCTCGGAGTTACAGTGCTTTTTTTCATTTCAGCTTTTCTAATTGCCCGCAAACATGCTCTCCACCCCATTCCCATTGAAAATACCAGAACGCACTATGTAATTGCTATTTTCGGCGCAACCCATATCAGTTTTTACTTTTCGAGTATTTATGTTTAAAGTTGTGTAAACAAGCTCACTGATTAGAGTCTCCAGATAGTAGAAGGCGCACACACATAAGCCCCGTCGGTTTGTCATTGTCAGCTGTGAGTCAGATATATCGGTTCAAGATACAGATATTATTTACAAGCCCCACTGCCGTAATTAGAAATACCCACGAAACCTTCTGTTAATGATGGACGGGTTCTTTATGGCTGTAAGATCAGTCAACTGTATGAGGGCAAACATAATAAAAAACCCCATGAAATGTATAAGTACCCGAAACCAGTTAAGATACAATGAATGCCACAAAGTCGGAAGCATCAGAAAAACCTTCGAGCCAGTTTCGAAATACTTTCCACAGAGTACTAAACTATCATAGCCTACTGAAACTTCCCGCCAAATACACTTGTCTTACGGATTGGGTTTCTTAAAATGCACAGAAAGAAATTTTTATAATTTCCACTTTTAGATTTTTAAAAATATGATCTAAAATGTATTATACAATTTATAAAAAAATCAATTTAAGACATTAGTTTATACAATCTTTCTAATCTTCTGATAAGAATGAAAGATATACCAAGATATACGATTTTCTTAAGAAATTCAGGACATTGAAGTTGTTTTATTTTAAAATGGAATGTACTTTCTAAAAATTAAATATATTTTTTTTAATTTTATTGAAATAAACAAAAAACAAAATGATATAGTGATCTTATAATCGTTCCCATTTTATTTCAGTGCAAATTTACCTAGCCGGCTGATCACAAGCTCTTTACTAAGCGGCGAGCTAATTGTTTACACCTGACCAAGGTGGTTTTGCCTAGGTTTTGCTTGGTTTGCGAGCGGATTTCTGGGTTTAATAGACTACGATATGCTCGGAGTCCAAGGTAATTTAAATGTGATACTTCGAGCTGGCTGATATTCGTATCTTGAGAGCGATAAGATAACTGCAAAGCTCGTCAGGTTTCTTTTATGTTTTGCAGTTTTATAGTTTCCCGAACTAACGGAATAATCATTTCCATTTCCACCCATCCCCCAGCCGCCCCTCGTTTTAATTGCTTCCCACTAAAAACAAAACGAGGAAAACAGAAAGAGAGAGGCGAGAGTCATATAGAGAGAGAGCGCCGTGCCCCAAGAACGATTTATAGTCGCCTTCTCTTTTTTTTCCACTCTGTTTTATAATTAAACATGTGAGGTTAGGATAGCGAAAAAATGCGAGAAAATAGAGCAAAGGTATACGATGCGGGCACCGATGGAATATCAATTATACGCACCTTAGAACCGATCTGATTGCCGCACTGTCCCGCCTGCAGATGCACAATTTCCCTCATTTTGCGACTGTTTTAGTTATTTAGTAATCCCCGTCAGCCGAATTTAACTCAATTGAACACAATGACGCACACACGCACTATCAGCAATTATCGGACCGGTCGCTATATCAATCTGAATCACAATCGGACACGCACTCGCTTGGATTCGGTGTAACCGGGGAAGAGTTGGAAGAAAGCTTTTCGGAGCAGAACGATCGACGCGCGTTCGCTTTGAGAATCCAACGTGAACTGACTGCCCGGCGAGCGACCCACTGGGGAATTAGTGCTCTATGGCGAAAGGGGGCGGCATTAGTGTTTCCCCACTTAGAAAAAATATAGTTTACATTTCCTAAAAGCATTTTCTTCAAATAGAACAATAACCTCCAATACTTTATAGTTTATCTATATAATCCTATACAAGTTTCTGGCTTACGTTCCTAGCACTAATATATCATAGCCCTGTTCAAAATTTTTAATACTTTTGTGTACAAAACAAATATGCAAGCGTCTTTTCAAGTTAGTTTCCCAAATCCCGAAATTCCAAAAGATTTTTTTATTAAGTTGTAAAAAATACAGCTATTATTTTGATCATAGCTGTATGTAGTTACCTCTTTTTATATTTTAGGTTACATATAAAACAGGTTATTTTTATCAAACAGGTTATTTTTTTGATGACAGGAAAAGGATTGTTTTTCCAATCTTCCTAACAAATCTAGATTAAGGTGAAGAGTATTTATTTTTAAATGATGGTTGTTAATATAAAAAAAATATTTAAAAAAACTAAGGTAAAATTTATTTATTTTTAAAAAAATGTTTTTTAAATTTAAAAATTAGAAACTATAAAAAATATAAAAATGTGTTTTTAAAATCTTATAAAAGGAATGTTAAAATATTTTTTGGATCATGATCACTTAATTAGAGAATATATTTCTTAGAGTGCAGAGAGCGCGAAGAGCAGAGGTTGGATGTACAATAGTTGAAGTGAAACTGTGTGACACGGCAAGATATTTTCACTGGCAGCGTGTTTTGTGTAGCTTCCCGCTTTTCCCGCATTTTCCCCTTTTCCACTGATTCTTACCGGCGGAGGCGCCAACGTTGCATTTTTCCTCTCATCTTACGCTTGGCTGAGCGTTTGAGAAAACTTGGGAAAAAAACAGAGAGAGAGAGAGAGAGAAAGAGAAAGAGTGCTGAAGAATGAGGTGATAGCACGTGAGTCTAAGGTGCAAAGAGCGGCCCATTCTACATTCTACAGATGTCTTCTACTACCTGAGCTTGTAGAATTGCAGTGCATCTACAAGACGTGCCATTCAACGAATTTCTCTTTACAAATGTGTAAATATCTTTATCTTTACAGCACTTACATTTTGATAGCAGAAATCAGAAAACAAATATTTTTTTTTACTATATATAGCAACTAGCTCAGTAAATCAATGAATCACACTGTGTACTTCTGAGACTAATCTTAATGATTATTATTAGATTCAATGAGTTCAAGAGCGAAACGTATATGTATTCATGTAAGTAGGTCAGTTTACAATTAAAGTGATGAGCTAATATAACGTATATGGTAATAAATCTAAGTTTGGTTGGAGTTGCACACATTATAAATGCTTTGGCATATATGATCATAATAGTAATTCCAATTGAAAGCAATAAAAATGTTTAATTTGGTGGTTGAATGGCAACTCAATTTGGGTATTTCGTGGGTACTAAAAAAAAAGTTAATTAATTTAGTTGAAAGGTCAGGAATTATTAAAAAGATAAGTTTTGAGTTTGTTATTGTTAATTAAAGATCACTTTAACAGTTTTTTTCATTTTATACTTGATTTATTTGCCACATTTTTTGTTGCAATTATCCTAAAATCCCAATTCCCGAACAGCTTTGATGATGAATTTAGCATAATATCGAACACTCATGTAGATGTCGGGCTTAAAGGTGTTGCCGCATTTGTAGGTCCACGTGCTTATGCCACAGACTTGATTGCGGAACATCAATGGTCCGCCGGAGTCGCCCTGGCAGATAGTCTGGCCATTATAGCCACCGGCACACATGACATTCTTCGGAAGTGAGCGACCCAGTTCTTTCTCGCAAACATCTTTTTCCACAATATTGACCCGCATGGTGCGCAAGGTATTCCGAGATCCAGCATGGTTCTTGCCACTGTAACCCCAACCGGCAACGGTGACTATATCGCTGGGATATAAAGGGGATTTGCAGACCTGGGCGTAGCCAATGTACTTGCTTCTCAATCCAAATAGGATCTTGACCACTGCAACATCGCCGATGAAGTCCTCTCTCTCGAAGTCCGGAGAAATTCGAATCGCAACGAGCTTGTTTCGTTTGTAGTTTTTATTATGGCCACTGAACTCCTTCGTAATTCCACCGACCACGTGGTATCCATCCAGGGTCGTTCTATCAAAACAATGGGCTGCCGATAGAAAGTGGAAATCTGTAAGAAGGGTTCCCGTGCAGATGAGCTTGGTTCTATAGAAGACCTGCACAGCCATTCCACCGAAGAGACCGTTGCTCGTCTCCTTGCCATCGTAGATTCTGGGTTGGATCCTGGGCGGTAGTTCTTCATCTAATTCTTCGGTTTTTCCGGCCGAGATTAGCAAAAGTAGGGAAGAAACGAACACCCAACTTGGTTGCATGACTTTCAAATAGGGAATGCTTGGCTAACATTCTTAAACAGTTTTCTCCGAATACCTTGAAATTGATTCGTTTCTTGAGAAGCATCTACAGTGGATGTGAAAATTTAACGGCTTTCTAAAAGCAAATTCTATTTTTTCAAAGTACAAAATACAAATATCTTGAAATACGTAGATTTATAAAAATCCAATTTGTTGAAATGAAAAAAAATCAAACTTAAATAAAACGAATTCTGGCCGGGGTAAAGATAGGATTCAAGCCGTGGATGTCTTCTGTTTATGAAGAAGTTCCACTGGCCAATGGGATTCGGGCCGTGACAGCGGCGTCGTCGAGTCGATTACGCGAAAAGTTCTCTGTGTGAGTGGAAAGTTTAACCCATTTTCCTTTGAGAATTCCCATTGGTCTTTTTGTGGAATCGCGGCACGTTTTGTTGCCAGTACATTTGCGGCTATGTGCTCATTGCAGGCTCACACGCACACACACACACACATAAATATGTCTGGCTGTGCGTGTGTGTGCGTGCGGCTCTTGCCAAATTGTCGATTTTATTATTTGTGTTTATATGATTTTTCAGCTGTTCTGCATTTTAAAGGCAGCCGGAAAATGGAAAGGAGTGATAAAGATACAAGGGGGGACTTTTCCGAGTGCCGAGCACAAAATGCGAGGCGCGTCTTCAACCTCATTTCTTATTATAATGTGAAAAATATCCTTTTACAAATTCAAAACGTTGAAATGTGCGAATTCTTTTGTTGCCGTTTTTAACGGCCGGATAGAGAGATTCTCTATATGTACATGACTATGTGTTCATAGGACCCGCGTGACTGCCAGGATCACGTCCGTTTTGCATGTAGTTTACGAACCGAGATATTCATCAATGGGTATTGAAATATTTGGCGCATCACTGGGTGGCAATTTTCTAACATTTTTGGCCTGCAAACTCATCGTTGTCACCCGTCGGAGGAGGCTCTATAAATTGCTTTTTGATTCAATGGCGCTCTGGTATTTGCAGACTCTTGAAATCACAGAATTTCCATTCCTAAAAATCACTCAATTGGACATTGAAATGCACTCGAAGTTTCTAACAAATCGAATGCATCAAATTGTCCAAACAGAAAAACATTGTGGTGGTCTTATATCCACATGAAAACTAATACCTAATTTATTTTATAAAAAGTTGGTTTCTTTTTCTTAAATAACAAACTTTTAATTCAGTTTGTCAGTGTCAGTTATCAAATTTAAATTAATTATTCAGTTCGTGATATAAAAAACCAGCTGAATGTTTTTGGTAAGGTACAAACATAAATACTCAAATAATATTATTTCTTGCCTTCAAACTAATTAAAATTTTTTATGAAATAATAAATTAATAAAGGTGTTACATATATCATTTTAATGTCTACATATGGAAATTTATGCTGTTAATTTGAAAAAATTATGAATATTGCTATTGAATTAGCAAATATAATGGCTATTATAAATAATGCTCTACATATTTTTATACCATTCCAAGAAGTATTTTTTATGGCTTCAGGAACCCTAAAGTGGATTTAAGCTTTGAAAAACAAATATTATTTTTTCCTTCGAAATACGTCTGCCATAAACATTAGTGGCATTAGTTTCGAAAAAATGCGATTCGATTGCTTATTTGTTTATGTTTTTACAGCATTTTTGTGGGAATCGTAAAAAAGGATATTTTCAGTTGCAGGAAAGCCATTGCAGCGAAGCTTTTATTAGTTTAGTTTTCGAAATTAAACGTATTTGCATGTCAGGCTGTCACACACACTAACAGAATAAAAAAGTTTGCCATTTTGTGTGATCCTGTGTGTTTGCATATGTATTTGTGTATGTGTCTAGTTGATGTATTTTTTGCAGTTGGCGAATGTTATAATATTGTTGCATGATGCCTTTGGTGTCTTTTGTCGACGGTTTGGTAATAGTTGTTGTTGATTTGCTTGGCTTTTGCCTGCTACCACTGCCGAGTGTACAATTTAATTGCTTTTTGGGTTTTTGTTGGTTGCACACACTCGCCAGTTTATGTATATATATATGTGTGAATATGACGGAACTGGTTGTCGTCTAACAATTTTTAGAATTGCACCAAAAGGCGGAGTGGGCGCCAAAGAAAATCCATTTGAAATTTCACGCCGCAGAGCTATAGAGTTGGAAAGGAAGGCAGGCTTGTCTGCTACAATATTTTGCTTTTAACTTAAAATCTAAAGTTTAATTGTCACTGTTTGTAGATGTGTGTGCACATGGAAAAATTATTACATTTTTGTAAGTTTTATTAGTTTCTGTCAAGCCATTTCGAAGAAAAAATACAAGAAATGTAGTAGGACTAGAAAAAATATTGCTGTTCCTACAAATAATACTAAAACAAATGATATGTCAAAACCATCTATAGTAAATGACAACTGAATAAATAAATGGTTACTTTTGAAGGTTTAGTTTGCTTTTATGGCCTAAATACATTTTTAGAAATTATGGAAATATAATATAATGATCCCGAATGATAGTCCGAAAAGTCCTTTAGAGCTATAAGTACGCATATATCCATAAATGCTCTGCATCAAAAGCTTATGATCATTCAATTTTTTATATATTATAAATAATTATGTACAATATTTAGTTACCAAATTCCCAACCATCTTCCATTTGGCTTATATTATTATTTTAGTATGATATTAATTTGGTTCAAGTTCCCTTCTCTCAGTGCCTCCCACTCACTCTTTATCATTGCCTGGTGTCAACGGAAGCCGTCGCAGTGTTTGTTAGGTGGCTGCCATCGAAATTCCGGATTCAACAGCAAAGTAACCAAAATGCAATTGTTTTGCAATTGGCATTTTGACCACATTCTGACACCCCATATATGGCCATATGGCCGTCGAGTGGCAATGGCAGCCACTGTAAATTGCGAAAAACTAAATATGCAGAGACATGCGCAAATGTGTGTGCGAAGTTGGCGTAATTTAGTTAGCATTTCAAATGTTTTTCCATTGCCAGCATTAGGCATAGGACATTTTCTGTCGATATGCCGAAAAATGCTTAATTGAAAATGAATTTGGTTTTCGGCAAAGTGCTGCTTGCTGCGTTCTGTTGCCGAATCTTTTTTTTTTTTGTTGGATGCTGCCTTGTTTTGCTTTCTACTAATTCGGATTGTTTTGTGTTTTATCTGGATGTGATGGCAGTTCGAACAGATCGAGGGGTTGCATTTCCATTGGATATGGATGGGTTGTGCACAGTTTTTGGGCTCTGTTGGCTGACATTTGCATATTTTTCAGAGCCGGCAGAAGAGTTCTGTTATCCTTTGGCACAGCTGCGCCGCTCTGTTTACTTAGTGTCGCTGAATCTGTATCACAATCTGAATCGGGCAAGAGGCCCAGGCATCCTACATATATCCCCCTTCAGCCGAAATGACAGCAACAGCACACGAGCATGGGCAAATACAAAAATTCTGGTCTACATATTTGAATTCGACAATGAACGGAGCAAATGCCTCTTTTCTGTCTCTGAATTTGATGAATGTAGGAACAGCCATCGCATCGAGTCACTCTCATTCTCAACTGCCTTTGGATTTTTACACTGTTATAAGCTATAACCATAACTCAAATCTTAGCAATACAAGATATTGCTAAAACTATGAATTGAAAAATCCATGCTTCATGGGATTTTGAAAAAAATTTGATAGAAGAAACAGTACACTACATAGTATCACCAAAAAAAATAACACGTCTAAAATAAGAATAACATTTTTATAAAAAATATTTATAAATCCTTGAAGAAGTAGTATTAAAATAAAACTATTTGGATAAGAGGTGGGTCATAAGAAAATTTTAAAATTATTTTATGCTTGTTGTAGCTCTCCTAAGTACACTAAATTCTTAAAATAGTTGTTAGCTTTTGAAATTTATAAATCAGATACAACATCCATCTTTATAATAAAGTGTCATGGCAGCACAAACCATGAACGTTTTCAACAGTGTACCACTGCACTTGTGTATTTGTTGTGGATATAATAGATGGCTTGCCAGATATATAGACGGACATCTGGAAATCTGGACAGGCCGGAGGCTTCATCTGGCTGCTGGCCATATTTGCCGTTATGCATGCAAATTGCACTAATGAGCGTCGGAAAATTTTGCATAGACAAATGCTTGAAAATGCCGAGAAACCTAGAAGCCGAGCCGGGGGTACTTGCATCTCTGCCCAATGCTTGGCTAAAAGGTTTCAGTTCTTGGCCCTTAAATGAGGTCGACCCCGAGAAAGGAGACGACCACAAAAGCATCCCCATTCGCCAGCTGGAGGGCAGTTTTCACGCACGGTTTCCCTCGTTCACGGAGCTGTGACAGTTTTTTGCCACTGCATCTGGAGCTGGGAGCTACTTTTGCTGCTGCTGCTGCTGGTGCCATTTTTGCTCATTAGAGTAAATGCACTTAATTAGAGCATACCAGCCATCGGGGGATTCACCAAAAAAAAAAAGGAGGAAAAAATATAGAAGGGGAGCAGAGCAAAGTAGAGCCAACGGCTATGATTACTGCGTTCTTAATAACAATGATGGAAACAACAAGGGCTGTGGAGCAAAAAAACAATGCAGTTTACACTTTAAATGAGTGCAAATAAATAAATGGCTAAGCGAAATGCGACAAATAGCTGGGAAATGGCAAAAATGGCTTACAAAGTTGCGCATTTTAGTGGCCACTCTCCATTTACCATTTAACCATTCTCCACTGGCTCTCCGCTGACCAGTAATTTGTGTGCGACAGGACCCCGACTTATTTGCATTTCCCGGCAATTGTTGTTTGGGCATCATTAGCGCACGAGTAGTGTGTGGTTCCGGGCAGATAAAGCATACTGCGAAAAATAATTAGGGATCCCAAGGCCCCAAGGTGGGCTAAGAAGAATATAATAGGTGCTTTCAAGCATAGGTTTTTTAATGGCATTAAAAACTTCTCTTTAACTTACATCGTAGTTCTAGATGTGTTTACGATTCAAGGAAGGAAGTAGG